CCAGTTATGTTTAGGGTGTAATTAGTAAGTCCAGTTATGTTTGGGGTGTAATTGGTAATTCCAATTAAGTTTAGGGTGTAAGTAGTAAGTCCAGTTATGTTCGGGGTGTAATTGGCAAGTCCAGTTATGTTCGGGGTGTAATTGGCAAGTCCAGTTATGTTGGGTTGGCAAGTCCAGTTATGTTTGGGGTGTAATTGGCAAGTCTAGTTATGTTTGGGGTGTAATTGGCAAGTCTAGTTATGTTTGGGCTGTAATTGGTAAGTGCAGTTATGTTTGGGGTGTAATGAGTAAGTCTGGGTATGTTTTGGGTGTAATAAGTAAGTCTAGATATGTTTAGGGTATAATTGGTAATCTCAATTATGTTTAGGGTGTAATTGGCAAGTCTAGTTATGTTTGGGGTGTAATTGGCAAGTCCAGTTATGTTTGGGGTGTAATTGGCAAGTCTAGTTATGTTTGGGCTGTAATTGGCAAGTCTAGTTATGTTTGGGCTGTAATTGGTAAGTGCAGTTATGTTTGGGGTGTAATGAGTAAGTCTGGGTATGTTTTGGGTGTAATTGGTAAGTCCAGTTATGTTTGAGGTGTAATTTGCAAGGCTAGTTATGTTTGGGGTGTAATTGGCAAGTCCAGTTATGTTTGGGGTGTAATTGGCAAGTCCAGTTATGTTTGGGTGTAATTGGCAAGTCCAGTTATGTTCGGGGTGTAATTGGCAAGTCCAGTTATGTTGGGTTGGCAAGTCCAGTTATGTTTGGGGTGTAATTGGCAAGTCTAGTTATGTTTGGGGTGTAATTGGCAAGTCTAGTTATGTTTGGGCTGTAATTGGTAAGTGCAGTTATATTTGGGGTGTAATGAGTAAGTCTGGGTATGTTTTGGGTGTAATAAGTAAGTCTAGATATGTTTAGGGTATAATTGGTAATCTCAATTATGTTTAGGGTGTAATTGGCAAGTCTAGTTATGTTTGGGGTGTAATTGGCAAGTCCAGTTATGTTTGGGGTGTAATTGGCAAGTGCAGTTATGTTTGGGGTGTAATGAGTAAGTTTAGATATGTTTGGGTGGAATTGGTAAGTCCAGTTATGTTCGGGGTGTAATTGGCAAGTCCAGTTATGTTGGGTTGGCAAGTCCAGTTATGTTTGGGGTGTAATTGGCAAGTCTAGTTATGTTTGGGCTGTAATTGGTAAGTGCAGTTATGTTTGGGATGTAATGAGTAA